ATGGTAACTTCCTTTCAAATTAACTCATTCAATCCATTCACAGAGACCAATGGACGATCATATTTGACATCGTTATATAATAAGTTTGTAGCATGAAACAAGTTACATAACCTACTAGTTAACATCTACCACAAAATATCACGCAATCTCACTTATGTTCACAATTTTTTTAGCGTATACCAGAAAGACAAAATACCCATAATACAATTTAAGTTTTCTTCCTTAGCCTCTTACTAATAGGCTGTGATTCTGGTTCTGGCAAAGAGGTGTTGCGTTTTTTTGGTGATGCTTTTCCTTTTGATTTAATCGCAGCTGCTTTTTCTTTGGTATGCACCTCCCCTCCTTTGCATTTCGTTTTCACCACAGCTTCTTTTCCTTTGGGGTTTGGGGGTGGGGACTTGGTTTTAGACTTCTTCATTAATACCTCATCTTCCTCGTCCTCGTCCTCACTTTCCTGGTAGTTGTCGTCGTCCTCCTCGCGTTGTTGGGAACATTCATCCTCGTCCCCATTTTCCTCGACCTCCTCATCCTCGTTTTCCTCATCCAGCTCATCCACCTCGTTTTCCTCATCCAGCTCATCCACCTCGTTTTCCTCATCCTCCTCGTTTTCCTCGTCCTCCTCATCCTCCCCTTGTTCCTCGTCATTGTCATTATCCACCCCATTCTCACCATCCTCATCTGATGTCTCAAACCCATTATCGTTCTCCTCATCCTCCTCATCATCCTCATCATCAATTTCATTCTTATCTTCCACATCAACAATTTCATTTCTTGCAAGGCAGTTATGGTTGTGTTGAGTGTTTGTCCCCTACAAAACCAAAGTCATAACCTTTGATGATTAATGCAATTATAAATATGTTGCCTAATCTTTAACTTAAAATAAAAGAACAATTATGGCACATAACCATCATAACTACTCTTCTGCATTGCATCAACATCATCATGAACATGTTTTTGAACACAGAATTTTTTATTTTATGCTTACAAACCCAATTTTACAATCTTATCAGTC